ATGCTTCAACTTGGCCTTAGTTACCAAGAAAATATGCTCAAAGGAGCACAGGCTTAGTACTAGACAAAGCTGGTTTGATCTTGGCTCCCCTACAAAACATGGGACACTAAGCAAGCTGTCAACCTCAGGGTTTCTTCACACTTGTTCATAAAGTGTATGTGATGGCCAATCTCACCTCTCCTGGTATAAAACAAGTCACTGTAAGGAAAGCATTTAGTCAAAAGTTCCTTCCCCTACCACCTAGGGCCCTGATCTGCTATCTTTCCAAATTATTGTACTTAACAATGCTTCCATATCCATGATTTAAGGTTTAGCATGACAGATTGAATACTCTATTAAGGACTTTATCTACACTATATTATTTAATCCTTTTAGGGACTCTATGAGGACGCATTCTCATTTTACAAATGGAAAAAAAATTATGGAATGTCACAAATAAAAAAAGTGGCAGAATTGGGACATGAGCCCAGACAGCCTGAAATCTGCATCGTGTGCCCAAACACTGCGCTCTGCTGTTTCCCTGCATTTTTCCTTTATTTGTCCTGACCCAGTCAGCATCCTTCCTAACTTATTCTTGTATAGGCAAATGCTACGCAGCCCCACTTTTCTTCATGCACACGTGCTACCCTAGCCTCCGCTGGAGCAGATGCTGTGTTTCTGTCTGTAAGCCGTGTGCTATAGTGTCCATCAAGACAGCTGAGCTTCAGCAGATGTTGCATGACCATCTGCTGAAGGCTTCCAGTGTGTTCTCTGACATGAAATGTATAGAACTTGTCTTACTGAGTCAAGTCAAGAAGTTCATTTCCTAGGTTTTATCCAGTGCCATACAATGCCCTCAGAATCATATTTTATTTTTTAATTTTTATTTATTATTTTTATTTTATATGTATGCATGTATTGCCTGCATGTAGGTAAGTGCACCCGTGTCATGCAATGCCCACAGAGGACAGAAGAGGCTGTCAGATCCCCTGGGACTGGAGTTACAGACAGTTGTTAGCTGCCATGTGGATGCTGGGATTCAAACCTGGGTCTTCTGCAAGAACAGTCGGTGTTCTTAACCACTGAGTCATCTCTCCAGCCCCAAGAATGATAATTTCTATAGTAAATATAATTTCTATTGCGTTTCCTGAACTCCCGCTGTCTAAACTATTTGTGCTCCTACAATGGAGAACTAATTGAACAGTACTCACTTGTACAAAAACTGAAATGCTCAGATTGCAACCTGCTCATCTCTGATGCCTCCCAGCCTTTTCCTCACACAGACCAGAGCTATAGTGGTAATTACTCCATGAACTAAGGAGTTTATTTTCAGTAAATAACTGGATCTTTCAATTTCTGACAAAGTTTGAGGCAGCTTTAGAGACAAATGCGACTATTTAAATCTGTTCCAGTTACAAGAATTCTGTACCAAGAGATGGTGGCCTCTAACCCATCTCCATAGGGCTTTGTCCATTGCACACCAGTCACACAAGGACCTCTGGTGGTCAGCAGGCCTGAAGAAGAAGATCATGTCAGGCCGGGCTTCATGATACTCCTTAGCCAAGATTTATTTCCACATTTGAATACAGACTCTGTTTCTGTCCGTTAAATTTCATTTAATCACATTTAATCATCAAGTATGCATTTAACAAACAAGTATTTATTGACTGCTTTTGGGGTGTAATACAATGCCTAGATTATTGTGGTTTTTTAAGACCTCACTGGCTTTTGTTCCTTCTCTTTATCACATATAGAGGGGAATTTAATCGATGCTATACTCATCCATCTGTCACATCATGACTGTGACCTCAAGTGACTTGAACCTGCTGCTGGTCCCTGGGCACCCCGCAGCTGCCTATTTTTAATCACAGAATTCTCTAGATGTGTCAATGGATTCCCTACCTGTGGGTTCAAGGCCAACACATTAAAATGAATTCAGTGACACAATTATCAAATGGAGACATGCCATTATCATTTCATTTCCTCCATAATTGTGCTAATTATGTATTTTTTTCTGAAAAGTAATTTTCCAATTTAACTTCAGTGACACTTTATAAACTATAGTTAAATTCATTCTTGGTGTAACATACCCACATTTGCTCTGTGGTTTTATTCAGAATCTCCATGTACTTTTTTTAAATTTTATTTATTATTTTTATTTTATGTGTATGTGTACTGCCTGCATGTGGGTAAGTGCACCCGTGTCGTGCAATGCCGGCAGAGGTTGGATCCCCTGGGACTGAAGTTACAGACAGTTGTTAGCTGCCATGTGGGTGCTGGGATTCGAACCCAGGTCTTCTGCAAAAACAACCAGTGTTCTTAACCACTGAGCCATCTCTCCAGCCCCCTACATGTATTTTTATTATATTCTTTTTCAGGCTTATGTTTCCCCTATTTTAAATGTGTTGGTTTTGCTAAATTTTCTTTACCCTTGCAATGAATAGATTATCTAAAGCAGTACTTTCATTTATACTTATTCCCATTTATTCGTGAACTCAGAAAGTGTTCTTTCCTGTAGAACACAGCAGTCGATACTACAGGACCTGTGGTTATGATTGAGACTCCTTTGAGTCCCAATGTTTCCTTCCTTGAGAAAGCTTACAGATGAGCGCAAGATACAGACTAATGACAGGGAAGAGGGAGGCAGCTGCCATGAAGTGTGACAAGGGAGGAGAGAGGAAAACCTACACATTTTACCTTGACGGACTAAATGGGATTTCACAGAAGGACTGCCATCCAAACAGGCTCAAATAGAAATAGGACATGGATCACAGAGTGAAGGAAAACAGGAACTCTGAACAGGGACAGGATGAGTACACAGTGTGACTCTCCAGCCATGCAAGCCTGATCAGTCTGTTAAGCAAAGATGGTTGAAAATAAGACTGAATCTTTAAAAGCAGTCACCAAAAAAATGCCACAGCAGCAATGGGTGCTGTATTCATCTTACACAGTAAAGGCTCCTACTGTTATCCTGCAGTCTCCCAGTCTCCCAGAGAAAAGGCCAAACATGCCATCTGCTCCCAAAGCCCCTGCTCCACACCGTCAAGCCTCCAGAAACATCCCGCAGCCCAGCCTGTGCATGTGTCTTTGTGTCCTCAGCCTCTTTTCTCTAGCTACAAGTTTCCTGTTATCTGTATCTCTCTGTTCATTCTTTAAAAAAAAAATGTATTTGTTATTTTTATTTTATTTGTATGAGTGTATTGCCTGCAGGTATGTAGTGCACCCCTGTCATACAATGGCCAAGGAAGTCAAAAGAGGGTGTCAGATCCCCTGGTACTGGACTTACTGAGAGTTGTTAGCTGCCATGTGGGTGCTGGGAATTGAACTGGGCCCCATGCAAGAGCTTAGCTTCTTTGATTATATCTACCGTTGATTCCCCTCATCTCCTTTACAAGGGCTGTGAAGTCAATTAGACAATTCCAGGCCTAGACGCCAGAAGTGCCAAGGACATCCTTATGTTTAGAATGTTGCTTCTGTGTTTGAAAAAGAACATGTATTATTTGTTCATGTACTTTTAAACTGAAGAAAGAAAATCAACAAACCATTTGACAAGACAGAACAGACTGTGAAAGGAGACAGTGGGAGGGGCCTGCGGAGGCAGCAGCAAGAGCTACTCCCTTAGGAACCATGGAAAATGAGCGGCTACAAAACAGACATGTTCAGATTGCACTTTAGGAAGGCCTGTCTGTAAGATCAATGCATGTAAAGTGGATCACATGGAGGCAAACATGCAAGGCAGGAAAACTAGTAAGGATGCAGAAAAATCCAGTTGTGGTACTGAGAACTCATCATGGTTGGCTTCAGTAGATGTAAGAAAGGCTTGTGAGGGCTATTTTAAGGCTGTAAAACAGGTGTTTGTGTAAATATAAAGAGATCAGAACAGGCCTCAGTCTGGAATACCCTCAGTATGTAGCACAGCTCTTGAGGTAGAGGACCCTGTCCATGGTCTCCTCTCCACACTTCCTGTGTCTGCTCCATGGTCCTCTTGGGCTCCAAGTCTATCTCCTTAGCTTCACAGTCAAGTCACAGGAGCCACCCAAAAAAAAAAAAAAAATCAGCTGGGTGTCGGCACACGCCTTTAATCCCAGCACTCAGGAAACAGGGGCAAGGTGGGTCTCTGTGAGTTCAAGGCCAGCCTGGTCTAAAAGGCGAGTTCCAGGCAGCTGAGGTTACAGAGACCCTGTCTCAAAAAGACAAAAAAAAAAAATCAGGTAATTAAATCACCCCAGGTGATGTGTGCAGCCTTCAGTGTACAAAGAACAGCTGGAACAAAAAACAATCCATCTGGGTGGATTGTCAGCTAGTCAGCTGAGGAAGAGGTGCTGGGACAGAGCTGCCACCATAGTTAGTGTTTCTACTAGTGATAGGTTCAAAGGGGTAGAGGTGGTAGCCTTGGACCCTAAATCAGCTGCACTAAGTACCACTCTTCATTATGCCATAGATAACACTGGAACCTCAGCCAAGTCACTTCCCTTTGCTATGCCTGAATTTCTTCTTATTCAAATAAAGTCTCAAAACTTTAGAATCTAATGTGCAAAATTACTAGGCACATTTAGTTAACATGAAGTTTCACTTTATGTCACTTTTGGTTAGCTACGAATAATACCTTACCTGTGTAATTACCATTTGCAAATCAAATTTACATCCATTTGATTTGTTCCTCATAATAACTTCTTAAGGTAGAGAAGACAGATATTGTTACCTCCTTCTTCCTGAGGGTCCCACGACTTATTTAAGGTTACATACCTATTAAGAAACACAGCCGAGACTTAAATGCTCATGTTCAAGCTTCAGTTCCATTGATGCCTTGCTGCCTCTCAGGCTCTTGTGTACAGCAGATCTGTTGCAGATACAAAAACGATTTTCTTCCTGCTCTTTCTATTCTTGTCTTTTTAAAAAATGACTTTTGTGTTCTATATTTCCATTTTATCTGGACATCTCTGTCTTTCTTCTTTAAATGAAGAGCTGTGTTGTCAAAGTCTCGGGCTTCCTGGCACTGACCCTTGCTCCCTGAATTGCAGGGAGACACTTCATCACAGTCACCACTCTCACCTCGGCTGGGAACATCGGAGAGGACGGAATCCTGAGCTGCACTTTCGAGCCTGATATTAAGCTCAATGGCATCGTGATCCAATGGCTGAAAGAAGGTATCATGGGTTTGGTCCACGAGTTCAAAGAAGGCAAAGATGACCTCTCAGAGCAGCATGAAATGTTCAGAGGCCGAACAGCAGTGTTTGCCGATCAAGTGATAGTTGGCAATGCATCTCTGAGACTGAAAAACGTGCAACTCACAGATGCTGGCACTTACAAATGTTACATCAGCACCTCAAAAGGCAAGGGGAATGCCAACCTTGAGTATAAGACTGGAGGTGAGTTGCTTCTGGAGGGAGGGACAGATGGTACCAAAAGATAATTGAGGCTGAAGGGCATGAGCTGCTGATGAAATGTCACGTGTGCTCATAAATGACCAACGTCAGATTGTAACTCTCCCGATTCTGTGAGTAGCCATCTTGCAACCATGTCCAAGACCCATACCAACTTCCAAAGTGACCTACTATAATATTAGGACTTAAAGCCTTTTCTTCTAGGCTTTCAACCACCTCTAGATTTCCAGGTATATTCCCAAAGATATTTTACCAAAATAAATAAAAGGTATTATTTGTATGCTAACTTAAGAAACTGGCAAAATATTTCTGAAATTAAAAAGTTTTAGTGTAGGTATGATAATAGATGTCCATAGGACTATCGTAAAGATTGAATGAAATAACATCTGGAATATTCTTCTAGCACAAGGTACACTCTCAGTAACTGGCGATTCGCTGTCATATGCACTGTTTCCCAAATCCGCTCTTAGGAACTTGTTCTTAACCTGCTCCAAGCATGTGAATCTCCCTTGCTCCGTGACAGCTTCATTAAGAACAAGGTAAACAACAGGATGTGGCAGCCAAAGTATGTAATCTTAGCGCTGGGGACTTGGAGGCAAGAGGATCCAGAGTTCAATGTCATCCTCAGATACATAGTGAGTTCAAGGCCAACATGGGCTACATTAGACTCTGTGTCAAAAAAAACAGAACACCACCAACAAAAGGAGCAACTCACTCAACAGTAGCCTGGTTCCCAGGGAGAGAAGTTGCTAAGTGACTTGATAAATTGTAGGCTGCCATTACGGCATAACAGTAAGTCGAGGCCCTAACATTTTTCTATAAATATCTCTCTGCCCAGATATTGGGGAAAAGAGGTCTTAATTTCCAAATGCAGGCACTTTAATGAGCAGCATTACCTTAGAATAAAGCAAACACTTAACCTTCCTATGCCTGGATTCCAGAGCTATGCTGTGTCCACCCAAACAAATTCCAAATCCCCATGATAACAAGGCTTGTGAATAGACTTTCTGTGGGTGAAAGGTGAATCTTTGTTTATTTCTTTCTTCTTTATCTCCTACTTCACTCTAATCTGTGAAACTCAGAAGGCTTCCCAGGTTCTTAGGAAAAGGCCCGATTGTCCTAAGAGAATAAGCTTTTTTTAAACTTAAAAAAAAAAATGTATTGAGAATTTCATACATGCATATAAGGTGCTTTGATCAAATCCATGCCCACTCCCTCCCCTCCAACTCCTCCCATATCTCCCCATCACTTCTTTCTGAAAACTTCATGTATTCTTTCTTTTCTTTTTTTTTTTTTTAATATGGGGCTTTTTGCTACTCTAACATTCCCCCCTCTGAAGAGGTAACCCTA